AGGGTTGGAGCTGAACTCTTCAGGACGGCGGCTCTCTAGGACCGAACTTGCCTACCCCTGTTCTAAGGTGAGCAATTATTTTCCAGTAAACCTATACTATTAAGTAGTTCCAGGTCTGTTGACAGCAATATTCATTTATTATTATTATTATTATTAATTTTAAATTTCTTAGTAGATTTATGCATTTATTTATTTATATTTCTTTGTATATTTAATTTATGCATTTCATTATTATTTTGGGAGCTTTGGCATTTCATATTTGTGTGTGCGTTGTTTGTCAGCAAGCAGAATGTGTCTGTCTCTAGCACACACTTAAATGACATCACTCACTTCACCAAAATATTGCAGTTATTTCAAAGGTGCTTACAGCCTACAGTACAACAGCAAATTAACCAAAATTCACAAATACACTGACTAAGCAAACAAATACGAATTATTTACATTTTAAATCGTCATGCCTTGACAACGGGCTGCTGTCAAAATTTAAACTCAGAATTCAGAATCTTAAGACAATCATGATGCATCAGAGAATTGATTGTGTAAGGAATAATTGACGACTATTTTTCATTACGATTTAAATCCTACGTGGCGCCTCATAGATATGGAATTGTAATTCTACTTATATTTGCTTTATGTATAGTTGCATTTTTCCCCAACATTTATTTATTTTCGTTCATACATTTCTTTGTCCATGGTAATGAGGGGGTGTGTTTTATTTCAAACATCGAGCTCAGAGTTACTTAGGCAAGGAAGAAACTTTGAGGCCTTTGAGTAGGGCAAATCAATGAACGAATGGCTTAGAAATGGTAGATATGGCCAAAATCTTATATAATTGGATAAGTGATTTAATATCATTGTAACAGTATGTACAGTTTATAGGGTGAACATACATACTCTTTTTTTTTCCTGGACATGGCAGAATTTGGCTGAATATGAACATACTGCAACTTCAATAGATCTGATGAATATTTGACACTGAAGAATGTGCAAATGAAATCATCCAGTATTAAAATCAGGAAAAAAACAACACAAACAAAATATACAGGCAATTTATTATAACCAATAACCTATGCAGTTTAAATGGGCATGACTCTTCTGTGTAGCTTATAAAATACATATGATTGGTTTGAAATAGACACTCTTTATTAATCTTTCAGTATCCTCAGTATCTTGGAAATACAAGTTTTATTTTAAGCATTTGATTTGTCACCTGTTATTCATGCAAAATTAGGCAACTTAAATGTATGCTGAATGTGCAGTCGAGTTTCAAGCACATTGACCAATATAGATAAGATATATCTAATATGTTTACATATCAATATGCACTGAAAAAAATTTTTCATTCATCCAGTTAAAAAAAGTACATAGACTGCAGCAGTGTTGGGGAGTAACTAGTTACATGTAATCAGAATTTTTGTGCCACGTTTAAAGATAACTAAATAAATAAGATTAACGTCATAATATTTTAAGAATAAAGTCAAAATTAGGATAATAAAATCATGTTATATTGCGTGAAGTTAATGTGACAATTTCTTCCATCATTCTTTCAGTGGCTGCTTGTCGGGGGAGGCAGGGGAGGCACAGCTTCCCCATTACATCTGATTTTTTCACATACACTCCCACATACAGATTTAATTGAGTTCTTTCATAAATTGCAGTGACTGCTCTAAATTATGAAACACCAATGTTTCAGAAGTTTATAAAATGCTTATCCGATAGGGTTTATGCATATGCTTTATTTTTTTTAAGATCAACTGTGGGAGGGGGAGGCCGGGGGAGAATAGTTCTCGTGCCTCCGTTGGTAAAAAAAAATTAGCCAATCACCATCGAGTTTTCACTTTCAGCGCTGAGGAGTGTTGATTGACGTAAATTACGTGATATTAGTTTGAACATCTGCCGCTGCGATGATAAAGTACAGGTGCATCTCAATAAATTAGAATGTTTTTCTAAGGCATTGTTAGATTCCAGTGTTTCCTGTCTATGCAAAGATTTGATTTCAAAAACAGTATCATAGCTATTAAACTATTTCTTGTTATAATTTTAAATATGTATTTAACCTCAGGATGATTTTAAAGTAAGTCTGATTTTGTGGTGGCTGTGCTTCAAAGGGGACATCGGATGCCCATTTTCCAGGTTGGTATGATTCTTTAGGGTATTCTTGAAATGGTCTCAGTGGTCGTGTAAAACAACACCCTTTTTACCTTGTCAAAAACATCTCTGTTCACAGCGACCCGTTTCGGTGCCTATCTCTTTACATGCTAATGAGTTCAGCTCACCCCGCCCCTCTCTTTTGTGGAAGAGCAAACGCGATTCGCAAATAATCATAAAAAATAAAAAGTGTGTTGGCACCGATAGCCTTGTGGGCAGCACACTGACATACAGCACCATTGCACTTCGGGTGTCTCGTGTTCAAATCGGACCTTTCCCTGATGATTTGCGCAGCCAGTCATAAACGAATTTAGTGAACGTGAAGTGAAGTGACGTGTGGCAAAGTATGGTGACCCATATTCGGAAAAGTGCACACACACAGCAGTGAACACACACACCAACAAAGTTGGGGGTTTGGTGCCTTGCTCAAGGGTCTTACCTCAGTCGTGGTATTGAAGGTGGAAGTATGGTATTTAATAAAGTAATTGAAAAGTTACACTACTTATTACATTTTAAATAGAGTAACTTGTAATCTGTAACCTATTACATTTCCAAAGTAACCTTCCCAACACTGGACTGCAGTGAAATGCTGCTGTGCAGGTTTATCTATAAATAAATGCAACCTTTAATCAGTCACACCCTGTTCATTAAATTGAAATGGTTGTTTTCACATGCACACCCTTCCATGTCAAAGGTTTTATCAGATCTGGCAAAGAACGTATACTGACAAGAAGAGAAAGCCAATGGACGTTCCATTGCAACAGCAGCGCCCAGCAGCGGCCCTATGCTTCCGCCATTCTGGAGTGAAAGCGACTCGGCAGTCCACTAGCTTCTTACTGTCGCTATGGCAAATATCAGCTGCTTTGTTTAAAAAAACGTACAAAAATACAAAAAGCTGAAATACAGACTGAACGATGACAACAATAGCATACATTCACTAGACTAGTGATCATCAAATCCTTTTAACAGTTTATTTTACAGACTTTATTTTAAAGTCTTCCTTTTTTCACAAAACCTTTTGCTCTCTAGAAACCATGTCAGTTTCGGTTGTAAATATTTTAAGCTCAAGTGTTACCAAGCACTGAATTAAAGTAAAAATGGATGATAAATACACCTTTCGTATGGAATTAAATAGCAAGCACTTTGAGTGTCTTGTTCATCATATTTATTTTCATATAAAAGCAACAGAACTGAAATTATATCGTGTTTATTAGCAACACAGCATGTAAGTGAGAATAACGCGATATCTGCCTTTGATCTCGTTGGTATCTGTTCCTACGTTTCAGGCGAGGCGAGGCGCATCTCAAACAAGCCTATTAATATGCGGGAGACTCCCGGAGCTTCCGGGAGAGGTGGGATGTCTGCGTCACTATAAATTAATAGCAGTCGTCCATGTTCTGACTTGGTAAAAAGACACGTTAACTTACATTATCTGAAGGGAAATTTAAATCTTGTGTCTGACGTTTAATTGCACATTTTAAACTGCAAATTCTGGTAATAAGAGCATATAAAGAACGTGTAAATCAGGGGTGTCAAACTCAATTCCTGGAGGGCCGGAGCCCTGCATAGTTTAGATTCAACCCTAATTAAACACACCTAAATATTCCAACTAATCAAGTCTTTCAGGCTTATTTGAAAGCTACATGGTATGTGTGTTGAAGCAGTGTTGGAACAAAACTCTGCAGGGCTCCGGCCCTCCAGGAATTGAGTTTGACACCCCTGGTGTAAATGACTGTAATGACATTAAGAGCATGTGACCTTGCAGTTACGTTGCCAGTAATTCGTGAAATTACCAATATACGTCATTAACAACAGAGGTAGACAAAGTACACAACTTTATTACTTGAGTTAAAGCTACTGCTGCTCAAATATTACTCCATTATCAAGTGAAAGTTTTAAGGACAGATTTTTACTTGAGTAAAAGTACAGAAGTACTTGCTTTTAAAAGTACTTAAGTACCAAAAGTTAATTTCCTTTTTTGTCAATGCACTGTTTTATTATTGTTGTATTGTTTATTATGCCTCTGAAGCAACTTACAATACATTACACCTGAATACACTGACTGGTACTTTGATGTCATACACAGAACAGTCTGTGCAGTGCTGCATTAAGTCGAATACCTATTGTGTTTTGTTAAGAGGCTCAAAATAGTTCTTATAAAACGGATAGTTCCGGTCCTTGATTCTGATTGGTTGAGCCGCGTTCGGAGCTGTTGTGAATTACACTACAAACGTACACCTTTGTTTACTTCTGTGTGTTGCTCGGCAACCACTTTGTTGGAACCACAACTGTTTTTTGAGCAGTGGTGGACAGTAACGGAGTAGTTGTACTTCGTTACTGTACTTAAGTACATTTTTCAAGTATCTGTACTTTACTGGAGTAGTTTTATTTTGAGTAACTTTTACTTTTACTTCACTAAATTCCAAAGCATAAGATCGTACTTTTTACTTCACTACATTTCATAAAACATATCGTTACTTCTTATAATATATCACGTGCTCCGACACGCAGAAGCGGTGTCTGATTCAAGAACGAACTGATTCTTTTCAATTAACCTTTTAAAATCGGTTCGCAAATCGCACCAAACGATTCATTCACGAATTAGAATGAACCGATTGCAGTTGTT